CAACAATACAATTAATACCAATTTAATTGTAGATATACCTAATACACTAAAAGTAATATCATTTATGCCTATTATCAGTTACAAGTTGATGGAACAAACATTCCATGTTATAGGGCAGGATTTCAGGGAGTGATAATAGGAGGAAATCAGATCTGAATTTGAAAAAATAATCTTCAATGATAAACAAGAAAAATAAATAAACACGGCTTCCATAAAATTTGAAAACCACGTTCTTCAGGCACAACAGAGAGGAAAAAAAAGTCGTGTGGTGTCGAAGCCGAGAAGTTTTCGGTATATACTGATAATATACTCGACATATACTCTGGAGATGGTAGAAGCCGCGTCATATACCTAAAATATACTCGACATATACTCTGGGATGGCGAAGGTGGGCGGTGAGAAGCCGAGAAGTTTTTCGGCATATACCGAAAATATGCTCGACATATACTCTGGACATATATTCGACATATACCGAATAAAAAAAGTCGTGGGCGGTGAGAAGCTGAAAAGTTTTTTGGTATAAACCGAAAATATACTCGACATATACTCTGGGGATGGTAGAAGCCGCGTCATATACCGAAAATATACTCGACATATACTCTAGAGATGGTGAAGGTGCGCGGTGAGAAGCCCAGAAGTTTTTTGTTACAGATCTGTAGATGGTGAAGGTGGGCGGTGAGAAGCCGAGAAGTTTTTGTTACAGAAATATCGAGATATTGTGTATTAAATTTGTCCATAAATTCGGCGTTGAAGGAGACGTTCTTGGCGGAGAAGCCGTGTGATGAGGCGCGGCTTCAGCGAGGCGGAGGTGCTTGGGCGAGGCGGAGGCAAATGCGGCGACGAAAAGGGGATCGGAGGATGTGACGGATTTCTGTGAAGGGGCTTCGAAGGAGTCGACTGATTCAGTCGAAACGGAAGTAAAAATATATTAATTATCATATCAGAAGATTTGAAGCAAAAAGGTGATCAATCACAAGAATTTGAAAATAAATTGGGGAGCTTTTGAGTTTTGACAGAAGACAATGGAAATTTTAAAAGAAAATAAAATTAGTTGCACCACAAATTAATCAATGCATAAATAGAACACCGTTTATCGTGTAGTGATATAAATAAATGTCAACAATTTTTTCCATGAAGCATGAAGCCATCAACTCGTTGCGTGGCGGTGGAGCAGACTTTGGAAGGTTTTGTTTAAGAAAAGAAAGAGTGTATGTGAAGAAGAGAGAGAGGGAAGAGGAGAGAGAGTTGATGAGAAGTTACCATGGAAATAGGAAATTAGTTTTGTAGGCATATATGTAAATAAATATAACAAATTTAGTTAATTTGTAAATCTATCTATATATTAAAAGAATAACCTTTTGAGGATTCCCGCCAATTTTTCCCGCCAATATATGTATATATAATCACCCGCCAATTGTCTTTCATTAACAGTGTCCTACAACTTAGCAATTGTATTTTTTTGGTAGATAGGGTACTCAACGGCTGATTTATTGGTATTTATTGGGTAGATAGGGTAACAAATCGACTGATTTATTGGGTAGAATTTGTTATCCTCTTTCCTGTTTTTTTGGTATCAAAATAAATATTTGTAATTATTTTGGTATCAAAACTAATAATTTTCAAATTGTGTGTAATCAAATACTTTTAGATGGAACACCATAAATTCGGTATGATTTTATTAAATTAGACTTATAATATTTTATATACTTGAAACAAATTGTTTAGACATTTTTTTACATATTCGTCTATATATATATAT